GCAGCGAAGGCCTTCTTCCTTTCACCTGGTCCTCAAGGCCAGGGAAATGTGCGACGTAGCAACGGTCTCTCCCACACACTGTTCATATTTGATCGAAGTACGACCAATGTTTTGATACTGTATGGCAAGTCTTCATGTTAGCACTCCCAGCTCGCGGATGGTATAGCACATTCATGGGCACCGAACTTTGACTGTGTGGACGTATCTTAGTATCTTGCCACAGCATTACTCGAACAGCCCCTACGTGTTCTATAAACAGTTACCTCTTCCCAGTATCTTGTTCTATTGACAGCTCCTGAATCAGCAACACTATTTCCTGGCAAAACAAGAACTTCCTCCACAAAGGGTCATTTAGTATTCTCCAGTGTGTTCTGTTCCATACGCAGTGGCTAAACTCACTACGCCGCTATTCTTAGAAAAGTGTATTGTTAGCCTGCCACTTTTGCCCAATGAGCTCTTCCTCACCAAGAGGATGAGTGGTAATGGTTCACATTGACGTTCTTTTTTAGCTGCAACATCCACCAGTAAATGCGCAAGGAATCGATAATCACTTTTCTGCGGCCTTCATTGAGGCGTTCTTAGAAGCGGTTACGGGGAAAGCGGAACGGTCGTCCAGCGTCAACCAGTTTTCCAATAGCGTACCAATTTCGCCCACACCAGTATCACCGGCTGCGACGAACGTAGCGACGGCCTCAACCTGGCAGGATGTTGCCATGCACGATGGCGCGATCCTCATGTTTTCAGTGCGCGCCAGTTCGGGGCATAGTTTAGTCAACTTATACACCGCACCGATTGTTACAAACCAAATGGATGCACAGTGGTTCAAACATGTTGAATTTGATCAGTGGACGGTAGGAAGATATCGACGCGTAATGTTAGAGCTGTGGCACGCTAACCAACCAGTGGTACGACTCACATTCAACGCAGAATACGCCGACCGATATACCTGGTTTCAGAAAGCCCTGCTAATTGAGTCCTTTCCATGGTACGAAAATGAGTTAATTCAAGAGACCGTATTTCTAAGAAGCAGGTAGGTCTGGATTCCAGGACTATCAGTTTTGCATGCATGTGATTTTAAAAAGATCGCCTCCCACCTTTTCGTCTTCCAATCAAGGTGGGAAAATCTTCAGGTGATTCTTCCCATATATCAATGAAGGCCGCTTGATGTGCATGGTTCGACTTGACCGGAAATCTGATAGAAACACCTACAGTTAACACTCGAAGTTCATTGGGCAAACTTGCGTCAATTGGACTAACGTATCCTCCAAATGAGTTATACAGGCATTTGCAAAATAAGCTAATTTTACCGGAAACCAATCTGGATCTCTCGTTTGTGATATTGATGGAAACACTTGGATAACACCTAGCTGATGAGAGTGAAGGAGACCGAAACCAGTAGTGGGCTCCGGAACAGTTTTCACAATTCTTATGCCGAGTTTAACCGTATTTTGCCCAGCCCATACATAACGTTGATTATCTCAGTGAACATCGCGTATTGTAGTTTCCTAACCGGACGTTTACCAAACACATATGTGAAAATGACGAATCTGTCATTCAGCTTTGTTCATACCGTGTCTCCAGTTTTCGTACGCCCAACCGTAACCTGCAAGTAAGTGGAGAAACTAACGACTTTGAACACATCCTTTCATAGACGATATTGTCCGGCAGTCCGCTACAACTGTCCTCACTTGCC